CCATTGTTGGTTGTTTAATTCTTCTACACTCTTCATTTAATAATGCTGAAAGGTGATATGGTAATCCAGCAGATCTTCTTGTAAATTTAGTTTCGTACCCAATTTCGTTAACTACTTTAATCACTTGTTCTGATAACCACTCATTACTTGCATACGGTAATGCCATTTCTAAAGCTCCTGCTGCACGTTCAAATATTCCTCTATGAAGTGCTGTTCTAAGGATATGAACTAATCGTTGTGATGCTTGAATGAAATTTAAAGAAGATTGAGATGCAATTATTTCTGATGCAACACGAACACTGGTCCATCCTCCAACAACCATTCCAGGAGCAGAACCTTCAGGAGCAGGAAGAGTTAATAAATAATCGCTTGAATCAATTAATTGAATTGCAAGCGTAAAACCATCTTTTTCTTTATGAAGTAATTGCAATATTCTAAATAAACCATAAACACAGTCATCTTCATATGAGACACATTTGGATGGTAAAATTTTGTCGATAGAAATTTTTAACTGAACAATCACAGAATGAATAGAGTCTTCAAGAGAAGAACCAGTGAATTGAATAGTATTGTTTGCTGTGACTATAGGATAAGGTTTAAATGAACATAAAGTACTAAAAATTCTTGCAAGAGCATCTGCTTCTGATGTACGTAATGATTTAATTTTATTCCAATACTTTTGTAATTGAATTTGAAGGTATTGATAATGTATTTTAGTAAAAGGACTTAATATTGAATAAAGAGAAAAAGCAATGATTCTAAGTTTATCTGTCCTACTTAAAATACTTCTTTGTAACAATAACTGAATTTCTTCAGTTGAAAGAAATTGAGAAATGATTTGTTTAATATCATTTCTTTTATTATTTTGAATAATATTAATACATATTTGTATAATAGAACAATCAACCTTTTCATTAAACGGATGTGCAATAAAGGTACAAATAAAATTAAATAATTCTTGGATAACTTCCACTGAACACCTTAAAATAAATTTTGGAATCATTGTTGTAATGACTTGTATTTCATCTGTAGGACAATCATATAATCCTTTGATAATATCTTTTGAAGCATTAACTTCAATTTGGTGATAATTAATTCTTGTTAAATCACTATATAATACAGTGACAATACTAAGATGAAATGATTTATTTAAGGCATTTTGTAAAGAGATATGAAGTTCTTTTTCTATTGAATGAATAAATGAAATAATAGAATTCATATCATATGAATTCATTTTTAATGCTGCAGCAGTGATTAATGGAAGTTGATTTGCTGCTAATTGAATTTGATTATTAGAAGGTTTTAACGAAATAAGAATACTCATAATTTTCATTGTTGATTCATTAAATTGGTTATATTGCTTTAATTGATTAACAACTTCTTCAAATGAAATTATGAGCTCTTTAAGAAGATGAGACAATAAATTTAATGCAACTGTTTTATATGTTGTTTCTTCAACTGCTTTAATAACATTAAATAAAAGTTGAGGAACAATAGAAGTAATAATTGTTTTAGTATTAGATGCTAAGGCGTCCAATATAACATATTTTCCTTTACAGTTCCAACTAATTAAAGTCGATTCAATTAATTCTTTTTTACTTTGTTCTTCATTTAAGAATTTAACAAGTCCAAAATAACCTTCTTTTAATAAAACCCATTCTTTATTATCTTGAGTTAATATTAATTCATTTCTTATTAATTGAATTAATTCTTCTAAGTTATCACAAATACTTTGACTCAAATTACCTTGTTTTTTTATGTATCTGTTTAACGATTCAATAACTGAAGAAATAATATCAAATGATTTTTTTTTAATACATAAAATAACATTTTTCATTTCTTTTTCATTTATAACTTCTTTTTTATCACTAAGACTTGCCCGTAATACAAATGGTTCATAGGTAATTTCTTTATTTAATTTTGTTAATATTAAATAAATAATATGCCCATATGCGTTATATGCTGGTTTGCTTAATGGTAATTGAATAATTTGACGAATACTTTGTTCTAATTTCACTAATTGTTCATTGGAAATACTATTATTTTTTTTATTTAAATAACTCAACAATTCTTTAGAACTTTTTTCACATGACTGAATCCAACTCAAGACCGCTTCAGGTGTTTGTGGAAGAATAAATTGAAGATGTTTGTCAATGATACTATTCATTGTTTTTATGTTTTTTTAAAAACTAAAAAAAAATAGGGTTTAATAATTGGAATTTGTAATATGTTATTAAATAATTGAAAAACTCAAAAATGAAACTTTTCTTAATATTTAGTTCTTAAAATGTTCAACAAGTCATTAATAAAGGTTTTTATTTATTATATTATTCCAATTATTATTTTTATCTTTTATTTTTGGATTATTAATGGAAGTGATAGTTGTAATAAAATTAGATTTAATTATTACCCTTCTTTAAAAGACAAAATACTTGACCCTCAGTATTGGATTGTAACCGTGTCATTAATAATTGCTTGTTTGATATGTATTGAATATGATAGTTTGGTTGTTATTTTTATTTTATAAAATTTTTATATTTACCTTCAATTAGAATATTTTTGTATTTATTTTACTTCAGTCATTGATTTATTAAATGCATATGTTTTTCATCGTTGGAATTATTATATTATTTGTATGTTAAAAGTATCTTTAAATGATACAAATTGTACTGAAATTGAAAAAATAAAATTTAATGGTATTAGTGGTCATTATTTCACTATCATTTATTTCTTTGGAATTTTTCTACATTTATTATCTACTATCCCTCATTCAAATACGTCAATGTTTGTTTCGTTTGAACGACATTTTCCAATTTGTTATTTTCCTTTAGTCCATTACTTGTCAGGGTCTAATAAATTTAATAAGTATCATAAAAGATCTTCAACTCGTATTATTATGTGTTCTATTGGTCTTATTCTTTATATCACTTTTTCCTATTTATGTATGTATAATACTCTTATTTATGGTTTTCATTCTCCTCGTCAAGTTCTTTATGGAGTTATTGCGTCATTTATTTCTCTTATAACTTACTCTTTTTTCCTTCAAATTCCTTTCATTTATCGAAGTGTTGTAAATTTTATTCTTTATACAGGTTGTTATGTTCTTCTTTGTTTGGTTACAAAACAACCAGCCACTAATGATACACTCATTTTATTCCCATTATGCTCATTGATTATGACTCTTTTTTATTCATTTTGGACAATACCATCTAATGAATTTGAAGATTAAATTATTAATTTTTGTTCATTTTTTTAGAATAACTTAATATTATAATGATTGCTAGTTAATGACCAATCTTTTCATGAAGGAATACAAATATTATTGTTTGATATTTAATGAATTTCCAAGAATGTTTCTAACAGCACTACAATGACAAGATAAAAATATTGAACTAACTTCTATAAAAACAATCAAAAAATAAAAAACATCTTCATTATAGAAATTGGTATAAGATAACTTGATTCATATAAAAAACCATTGTAATAGTAGCACGAAATGATAGGTGCATAAACAAACATTAAGAATGTTAGTAATATTCAAATAATAATTAAATTTTATAAAACGGTATAAAATAAATTATATCAGTTAATATATTACAAAAAAGTAGGTTATATTAAAATATTTTATTCTAAACTCATTATTAGAAATGTACATTTCTTATTTAAAATAGAGTTACAACATTTAATAAAAAAAGTCAATTACAAGCTTTATTATATGAAAGAAATATGTTTTGATTATCTAAAAAATTACTTTTTTATTTTCACTCTAAAATTTCTATTTCATTTTCATCAATTAGTATCACTTCACTACCTTCTTTTTTTATTACTCCTTGCTCTATTAGTTTTGGTTCACAACGGCATCTTTTGAAACACCTTTCTCCTATTTTACTAATTGAAGTTGGAATAACAATTCGATTTAATGCTTTACAGTCATAGAAACAATCATCTCCTAATTCATATACTGAAGTTGACAAAGTAACTGAAGTCAATGACGAGCATTCACTGAAGCATTCTTTGCCTAATTTTTTAACACTTGTTGGGACATTAATCTTATTTAAATTTGAAAGTTTGTTGAAACAAAAATCACCAATTTGAGTGATAGTTGTTGGGATATTAAATTTATTTATATTTTGATATTTTATATTTTGTCCATTTACTTTTTTTAAGTTTTGTGGTATTTCAAAACTCAATAAAATTGGCTCATTTAAAAATATTTTATGGTGACATATATATTTTACATCTTTAATATTAATACTTGTTAATGATGTGCATTTATAAAAACAAGACTTTCCTAATTCACTTAACGCTGTTGGAATGGTTATTGTTTTTAAGGAAATACATCCATAAAAACATCTATATTCAATTTTATTAATAGTTGTTGGTAAATCAATAGATGTCAATGAAGAACAATCTTTAAAACATTCATATTTCATTTCATTTATTGTTGTTGGAATTTTAATTTCTTTTAATGAAGTACATTCATAAAAACATCCACTTTGTAATACCCTCATTGTAGTTGGTATATTAATTCCTGTTAATGATGCACACCCATAAAAACATTCATTTCCTATTTCATTAATTGTTGTTGGTATAATTATACTTTTTAATGACGAAGACTCTCTGAAACAACTATTTCCTATCTCACTAGTTGTTGTTGGAATATTAATTGATGTCAATGAAGTACATTTATTAAAACAGTAGTTTCCTAATTTACTGATTGTGGTTGGAATATTAATGGATTTTAACGAGAAACAATTACTAAATACTCTATCTTCAATTAAATTTAATCTTTTTGGAATATTAATTTCTTTTAATAATGCACAATGAAAAAAGCATTCTTTTCCTAATTTACTAATTGATGATGGTATATTAATTGTTGTTATTGTTGAACAATATTTAAAACATTCATCTCCAAGTGTTGTAACTTCTCGTGGTATTGTATTTCCATATGATTTTCTATCTTCTTTTGTATATTCTATATTTTTACAGATATTTCCTTTTTCTTTTTCTTTTAAATATGTTGAATAATTTACTTCATACCATATTACATATTTAAATATTTTTCCATCTTTAAATATTTCATCATATTTATTATAAATATGAAATGTTTCAATATTATGAAAGAATTTTCTTGAATATTCATTTAATGGAATTGGATTAAAATGAAATCGTTCCATATTTCCTTGAAATCTTTTAATTCCAAATTCTAAATTAATAAAATCATTAATATCATTAAAATACATTGATGTTATCATTATTTCATTATATCCTAATTTCATTCTTGATTTATCTGTGTCATTTCTTTCTATTACTTCTTTATTTGTGTCATTTCTTTCTATCACTTCTTTGTTTGTTTTTTTTCTTTCTGTTGGTTCTTTATCGTTTTTTGTTGTTATATTTCCCATACTTTCTTTAAATTATTATTTATTTTTCTAAGTTCTTTAATTTTTTTCTCTTCTGCAACTGAAAGTAAAACTTAAATTTTACCATTAAAGAACATAATCAGAATATTCCAAAATTATTCAAGTGAGTTTATTCAATTTAATAACTTTTTTAAACATGGTTTATCACTTTGTTTAAATGTTATACTAACACACAATTGGTCATAGCTTAATAAGACCTATGAATAATGACTCACAAATATCAACTTAAAAAGATTTCCCAAATAACTTCAATTTAAATAACCTTTGTTTGGCACACCTTCTAGTTTTGTTTTATGAATCAGTTATTTCTTTATAACAAATTTGTACTGCCCCAATAAAATAACAAGTTATTTTTAATATAAGCATGGTGAAATAAACTCACAGGATGAAAGAAATTTACAACAATTCTAGTTTCTTTTTATAACAAAAAATACTTCCTTTTTATTTTTTCGTTATTTTATTTCTATATTTATATTATTAATATTTTTTTTTATTTTTAACTTTTTGATTTAAATTTTTTTCTGTTATTTTAAGATTTTCATTTTAGTGAAAATAACAAATTCTATATCATAATTATTTTGTTATTCTTTTATTCTTTTTATTATCTTACATTCATATCTATGCTCATTATTGCTCATTTTTAATTCTACCAGAATTTTATTTCATTCAATTCTATTTTCATATTATTCTTTATATTATTTGATGTTGAAAATAATATATGTTATTAAAAGTGATGCATTTTTTGCACACCTCTTTTTAACCTTTATATATACATATTAA